AAGTGCTAAGGTTGAGTGGCATGGATGCCATTCTCGGGGCTAGCAAGCCCCAAGTCCTGAGTTGGACTTATGGAGGTTGTCAATGAGACTCCTCCAAGTGGTCAGACATGTGGTTAAGTGACTAAAGTAAAATGGAAAATTTAGTCGCTTACAGTCTGCAAAGGAATGGTTGTGCTTGTCAGACCCAGTAATAAAAAACAAATGATATGGGTGGGGCACTGCATCACTGATGCAGAGGAGGACGCAGAAACTAACTCCTTCAATGTAACTGTGGAGTGGTTCAAGCCAAGTTCCGGATATACGAAGGATTGCCTATAAAAGAGATGGGTGCTGAATCCAAGGGATCCCAGCATGAGCATATCGGTGGATAATGTTGTGCATGGTTGGATGCGGAAGCAGAGTGCCACCATCACCTTGCCGGACCATGCAAGAGATGCAGCAAGAGCATTCATAACCCAGGTTCAAGGTGAGATTCATTAATATTCCTTTACTAAGTTTCTAATGTATTTTATTTCAAGGTGAACAATCCGAATCTGAATCAGAGGAGGCGTGATGGCATGTGGCCTTACGCCATTTCTAGGTGAGATGATACAAATAACAAGTATAAATTCTTAGTTGTTCTAGCAAATCTTACTTAAAGTTCAAAGTGAACAAGCCGAATATGAATTCATCGGATTGTTATAACAAATTGCGAGGTGATGGCATGAGGCGATACGCCATTTGAGAGTGGTAGCCATTCCTATATGAGGTGAGTGAAATATTTATTAGAAATACCTCATTCAATTGTGCACTTCTAAATCTTGGTCCACTCAGTACTGTTTGCATGTTTCTATTTTAATTCTTTCTCTAAAATGTTATTTAGCATGTGGCTTCATGCCATTGCTCTCCACAATCATGCATTAAATTTTTCTATCCTTGCATAATACTTCTCCATATATATAGCATGTGCGCACATGTGATATGGTTCATTAGGCCTGATATAGTGTGTGAGGTAAAACAAAGATGATGTGACATATGCATTTACCAATCACACGTGCATAAATCTAATAATATGGCGTGTGGCCCATATTAATGGCACATAAACCCATATTGTGGGCTTGCGTGCTTTATGTACCATCATTCCCTTGCAGCGTGTGTGTTGGTTTCCTTTTATAACACAACGAACTCCATATTTTAGGGTGAAGAGCGTTCTCATGGCAAGCACAAAATCTGTAAGTGAGGTAGAAAAGGAGACGGAGAAGGAGATAGGTGAAGATGTAGAATATATAAGTCTTCCAAACTCCCCGTACTATACTCCAGGTGATCATTTTTTTGAACAAACGGCAACATTAACAATTATCGAGAACGCCCCAGTAACGTCAGAGACAACAATCCAAAGCAAAACAACTGACTCGGAGAAGGATGATAGTACCGCTGAGAGTACCAAAAAGGAGGTGTCCACTAGCGCTTAGGCTTATAATGGCGTGTGCTCTCATGCCATTTACTTGATCACCAAATACCTTTTTCCCTTTGCACTAGTATATCTTAATACCGGTCTGAGAAATAGAATGGCATGTGCCCTCAGGCCTTTTACTAAATCACCTTTGAAAGAAATGCAAGCCTCTATGTCATAAAAAAAAGGTACTAGAGAAATTCCTTAATAATATGAATGTTATTTAGTTTCATGAAAATACACTAAGGGTCAAATGAGTTAAATGACTTCTCCAGACTAGCAATGCCTCTTGCTACACCTTCACAATTAGATTCGTTAGAAAAAGATAACATTGAATAATATCTAAATGTTCTCACCATTAAGTTATATGTCTGGCTAATAGGAATGACGTTCATCTTGGAAAGCTCACCACACGCTCAATGAACAAACAAATAGTGTGTGCGCGCATGCCATCGCTCTTCTTTAGCTTCAGATTCGGCTTGTTCACCTTGACAATGAGATTTATTATACAACCAGATGGACTCAGTCTGGACACAAAGTCACCGCGCTAGTCACCATGCCCCAGATATGTCTAGCCCCTGGATAAAAAACATATAATTTCACGTCATTTTCAAATACTTGAAAATTTGTACCTAGTCCCATTTTACTGAATAAATCCCACTTTAACGAAATAGAGCTTTTGAATAGAAATGCATATACTTTGCACCATATGATAGCTTTATAATAGTATTAGTATTGCCCAATAAATGCAGAGTGAATATAAAAGCAAAAACGTTTATACAGCTTTTTGAATATATTAGAATGTCCAGGCATAAGTAATAATAAATGTTTTTAATAAAGTAAGCAAATATAATTTTAAATATGAATATTAGATGCAAATTATTATTTGGAAAGTTGCGTGAGTAATAGAGAGACCTTGCGTGAATAAGTTAGTGACCCCTCCATCTTTCTTTCGAGAGTATTATCAAGGGGTTCACTTTCTCTTGATGACGTTCACGAGGCTTAAAAGCTTGAGCCATGGATTTGAAAGCTTTGAGATGGGTTTGAGAATTTTGCATCACTTGCTGATGACTTGCCATTTTGGCATTTATATTCTCAGTATCGCCTTGAAGATGGCCTTCTTTATTTTTTGAGGATGGATAATGATGACCCTTTATAGCTGGTAGTGCCTTTTGTCTTTATTCCATGGTTTCTTCATGCCTACCATGATTCTCCTATTTTAGGCGGGTATATGGAACATCGTCGTATGACCGAGAAGTTGCACAAGTCTTTCTATTAGCCAAAGATGCAATATAATGTTATCCAGTATGTGCGTAACTGCATTTGGTGCCAAATTCGTAATATTCCCCCTCATGCTGCAGAAGGACAGTTAGAGTCAATTGCAATTTCCCATCTATTTTGGTGGAATTTAACATTATGGGACCTTTTCCACGATCGACTATTGGTAATGAATATGTTATTATTGCTTCTGACTATTTGACTCATTGGGTGGAAGTTGGTGCTCTTGTTAGCGACTCTAAAATTGCTGTTGGATACTTTCTCCTCAATCAAATGGTATTCTAACATTCTTGTTTAGAGCAAATTCTTTCGGATAATGGTCCCACATTTATGGCTGAGGCATTTTATGTTTTGACATCTTAATTGGGGATACGCCACACTTTCACAAGTGCTTATCATCTACAGTCAAACAGTTTGGTGAAATGGCTCGTTCGAACATTCAAAGAAATGATCACAAAGTATGTCAACTTTCAGCATTCAAATTGGGATGGGTATTTGCTGTCTCTTCAGTATGCATATATCACAGGGGTGTAGAGTTCTATTGGTGCTTCACCATATATAAACTCCTATATGGTCATAATCTAATATTACCAATGGAGCTAGGTTTACCTTTGCGATTGCCACGAGTTCCCGATGCTAGGTCATGGGATCAATATTTGATGAGCATTCTTTCACTTGTCTGAGCAGAATCTACCAAACAGTTAAGCCATATACAAGTAAGACAACAATGGCATTACAACTCCCATCATCGTCCACCTGTGAAGTACAAAGTGGATGACTTGGTGTTAATCCGTTTTCTTCATCTTTCGGTATATGGTTTATCTAAGGGGCTTCTTGCTCAGTGGAAAACACTGTATCAAATGTTACAGCAAGTTGGATCGCAAGTTTATAAGATTTGGCATGATGTCCAGTACGCCGATCTTCCAGAAATTGTGCATGTGCAGTGGTTGAAACACTTCATATAAATGGATAAAAAACAACTAATACCACCTACAGATCTGCCAATACCTCCTCCTGACATTCCTCCAAATCCTGGCCTATCTATAAGAGAACCTTGATGGTTTTCTATTAAGGAGGGGATGATGTGAGGTCTAGGTGTATAGTTACGATGCCATATACTAATATTAGTATAGTGGGATTTTGGTAGTTGTCAGATTGGTTTCAATCCAGACTAGTATATAAGCTAGGGTTTTTAGCCTAATTGATATGCACATTTTTCATATTCCCTTTCCATATTCCAAACACTTACACAATTAAAATTTCTTCTTTAATTCCTACTTTACGACATAATTTGAGATATATATATATATATATATGAAAAATATATATGTTTATCAATATAACTGAAATATATTATATGCTATTAAACAATTATTATATTTTTAATTTATCACTTTATTCGAAATTTTAATTCAAAAATAAAGACCAAGATATCTATAACACGTAAATATATAAATTTGGTGACTAGAAACTAATTACAAGGCAAAAACATATTTATATAGCAATAGAAAATCCACATTTAAAATGATTATAGTTTATAAATTATTTTATAAATTTAAAAAACACATTTTAAACATTTTTAAATAGTTTTGTAATCACTATTTCTAATTTCAAAGTAAAAATAACTTTAAAGTTTAATTTTTACAAACAAGTTATTAACTTTAATGAATAAGTTTAACCATGTATGTATTATATTATTTTTATAAATCTAAATTAAACAGCCACTCATGTAACTTAATTAATATCTAAATTCTATAATACTTCGAAATCATAAGTTTTATCAATTTGTTTTTATGCTTTTATAATGAATAATTTTCAGGATTGCCATGCTTATGTATATGAAATAAAATTCTATAATAGATAAATATTTATTTTTTATTTTTATCTTCTATGATTTTCTAAAATCTTTCTATGATAAATTTAATTGATCCAAAAGAAGGACAATCTAAAAACATTATGCAAAATCTATTTTTATTTTTATTTTTGATATATATTTATTTAAATATCTATAACATATCAATAAAAATCAGCTATTGAAGTAATTAGACATATATTTTTTAATAAAAATTACACTTTTATTTATAGCTAAAATGTTTTATTGTATATATCAATTTTCTAAATATTAATACAAAATATTATAGAATAAAATTTCACACTGTACTTTTAAATGTTGTTGCAATTAGTAGATCTCAATTGGTATAATGTTATTTATATATATATATATATATATATATATATATATATATATATATATATATATATATATATAAAGGTCTTTTTTAATAACTGGTTTACAGAACTCATTTAAATAAAAAATATAAATCAAAACATATCAAAAGCTACTTATTCGATCATTGTAGAGAGATTTCTATTTGTTTTGGTGCCTCCCGAAACGTCTATCCCTCTCTTGATACTCGGCCAGTGCCACCCGGTACTCATTCTCTCCAAAATCCGGCCATAGCTCGGGCACAAACACGAGCTCCGTGTAGGCCAGCTGCCAGAGCATGAAGTTACTCAGCCTCTTCTCGCCGCTTGTCCGGATCAGCAAGTCCGGATCGCTGATTTCCTCGTCCCAAGTCGTGAGGAGCTTGCTCTCCAATTTGGACTCATCAATCTCGTCGAGATCAACACTCCCCCGCTGGACTTCCGCCGCCACAGCCTTGCAAGCCTGGACCAAGTCCTGTCGACCACTGTAGCTTAATCCCACCACCAGCTTGAGACCTTTGTTGTGGCGCGTTCGCTCCTGGATTTGACACGCCAGCAAGCGTAGAGTGCCTGGAAGCCTGGACAGATCTCCAATGAAATGGACACAAATTCCCTTCCTGAGAGAAAAATGCAAAAGAAGAAACAAGAAGCTTATAGCTGTGAAGAAGTCATATATGAATGATAGAGTTCTAGCTTCCAATCACGAGAAACACTAGGAAAAGAAACTAGAGACTTACGTGAAGATGTTCATGGAGTCCTCCGAGATCACTCTCTCGAACAGTTGCATCAGGAACTGGATTTCAATCTGGATCACGGCAATCCTGAGGCAAGTTCATCAAAATGGAAGGAGAACAACAAGGGGAAAAGGAATGCACCGTGGGACGACGCCAGTTCTCGGTGGAGAAGGCAAAGACGGTGAGAATTTTAATACCCAAGCGGCTGGAGGCGGCCACGATCTCTCGCAATGCATGCACGCCGGCCTCGTGCCCCCTGTCGGTGGCCAATCCCCGGAGCTTGGCCCAGCGAGAGTTCCCATCCATTATAATCGCGACGTGCTCCGGCATTCGCAGCGGATCCAGCTCCCGCGGGATTTGGCGGGCGGGACTGGGCGGCGGCGGCGCGAGCAGCTGCTGCCCGATCGAATGACCCTGCTGCTGCGATGCCAGGATTTCGCCGCTTGCCCTGGTCAACACGCGCGGATTCTCCGTGCTCCTGTCGGGACGGAGGCATTGCGATAGTGGGGCGAGCGGTGCTGAACTGCGCTGCCGGACGCTGCCGCTCACGAGCCGGAGCTTCGAGGAATCCATAAACCCTAAACTCATGAGAATATTCAGTGTAAATTGTTAGTGTTATTAAAATCCATAAACCCCAGTTAATTCTTGAGAATTATTAGTTAATAGTAGTAAATAATAAGTTGAATTTTTTAAGGACCAGATTGTCAATTTATTCTAAGATGAAGATAGCTATAGCATGTGAAAATTCTTATAAGGTCTTGTTATATCATTATCATCCATCATCACATTATTTTATTTGATTACTTACAGTCTACTATACTTCAGCTAAAATGTCAAGATAAGTGTGGTGGATTGTTAATCTCATTCAGTGGATCCTTTAGTTAATTAACAAAATTGGATCTAAAACCTAAATATAAACTTTTGAATTTAAATTTTATAGGCAAATCTAAAAACACTTAACGTTAAATATTTAATCTAAATAAGCACAAAAAGGCAATCTTCTTGAAGAAGCCAAAGAAACAGAAGGAAAAATGTCAGACCATCTTTAATCTCTTGCGGGGAAAAATGAAGACCTCATGAATTCTCTTTTTCGCACATTTTTTTTGTTCTAGCAAAAAAGTCTGTTCATGTACGATTGATAGTGCCTACACCCGCATGAGTCTCGTGGGCTGTTGTGAAATGCTTTTATAACCCTTCGTTCTCTACTATCTACATGCTTCAACGACTCTCTGAGAATGTCTCCTCATCTCTTGGTCTCGATTTCGTTCCTCCTCCTGCTTGCTGCAAATGCAAATGCCGCAAGTGATAGTACTCTGGAGGGGGATGCAGGGATCCGAATGTTTGGCGACGTCGACTCTGTCCCCAAATCCATCGACTGGAGAACTTTGGGGGCCGTCACACCTGTGAAAGATCGCAAAGGATGCCAGAGTAAGTCTTGGACTTCAACTTCAATCCTGCTTCTCACTTTATATTTATATTGTGGCATGGATGGAAGATGGTAGCTGGGCTTTCGCGGCGGCAGAAGCCATCGAGGGAATCAACAAGATTGCAACTGGAGTTTTGGTGGAGCTGTCGGCGCAGCAGCTGCTGGATTGCTCCCGGAGCTACGGCACCGATGGCTGCCACAGCGGCTTTCCCCAGAACGCATTTGAATACCTCGTCGACACAGGCAATGGCCTCTCGATCGCATCGGATTACCACTTCACAGGTTTCAATGCCACCTGCCGAAAACATGTAAGTACGTGCACCATTGTTTTTTACTAAAGTGCTGCTCTCCAGAACCGCTACTCCGTCGGCATTGACGACTACGACAATCTCTATGGCTCCAGCGACGACACGGACATGGTCGCGCAGGTTGCCAAGCAGCCCGTGACAGCTCTAATCGATGGCAATGCGCCAGAGTTCCTTCGCTACAAAGGGGTCAGTGAAAAATCTTTTTTTTTTTTTTTTTCTTTTGTGAAGGACAAGTCGCTGAAGCCTTCGAACTAAAAATGCAGGGGATTTACAAGGGCCCATGCAAAGATGACCAGGCAACTCCGTATCTAGCGGTGCTCATCGTCGGCTATGGATCCGAAAACGGCCAGGACTACTGGATCATCAAAAACTCGGCGGGGACAAGCTGGGGAGAGCAAGGCTACATGAGGCTGCAGCGTGGAAACCATGGCCTTCCACTGGGTCGATGTGGAGTGAATGGCTTCGTCTACTTTCCCGTCAAACAGAAGCCACCGCCATCTCCACCACCGCCATCTCCGCCGCCACCCTCTCCTCGACCGCCACCGTCGCCCCCGGTTCCGTGCAGTAAAAGGATTAGCTGCAGGTCGCTGATTCCAACCTTTGCGTGCTGCCCTCCCAGGGCCAGACCCTGCTGCTGCCCCTGGTGGAAAAGATGTGGTGAGTATGGATGCTCTCTTTAAACACTTACGTGTATAAGAGCACAAGAGACATTTCAGCATCTTAAATATCGAGCCTTTCCTTCAAAAGGTCTGGTGGCATGACTTCTCTTATGTCATGGCTCCTTCAGACTTCAAATCGGCAAAATAGGCTTCGGGTTATCTTTTTCTAAGAGTTTGCTGTGTTCAAGCTTAGATGCCACACCCGCATTGGAAGGTAAGCCAACTTGGAGATCATTCAGCAGCCCACAGCTACAACCAGTTCTGGAGATCCATTGTACGTGAAGGAGACTTGCATGTCCGCGTCACACGGTGTCCCAAAGCAAAGTTGATATGTATTTTAATTCTGGCACGCACCAATGTAGCGGATATGGTCTTGATTAGCTTTGCAACTGGTGGTTCTACTGGATCTTTCTGGGCAGTCATGCGGCACTCAAACCCGATAACTTAGCTGAGAACTTGGACAGCCAAGTTGATCCTCTCGACAACACCAACACCCTCGTATTTTTCCACAATTGCGGGATGCCGCTCAAGCTACTCCTGTCTTGATGCACAGATAAGATCAAGAGGAAAAGAAAGAACACTTCGTGCCGACGTTGCCATCGCCATTGCTGTGGGGACTCGTGTGTTCTTGTCAATAAAAAGAGCCTTGGTTTAGTAGACTTGACCTGGTTAGACTGTTTTGACACGGGATCTCGCCACTGTAGAGTTCGCGATTAAATATCTTAAATGTAAAAGTTCCAAAGCAGGAAAAAAAGAGGAAAAAATGTGTTCTTAAAACTTTCATGGCTGCAAGACTTTGGCAGACGACTTTCCTAGAAGTTGAAACACTGCGGATTTCGACGGCAGGGCGGGGATTGCTCCCCTCTCCGTAGTTGCGATCGCACCGCAAGCATTTGCAAAGAGGAGAGCTTCTCTCAGCCTCGGTTCGTCCTGACACAAAAACATTTGATTCATTCTCCATTTCTAGGAACGCAACGAATCTTACCTTGTACAAGGATGGCTCTTTTACGAGCTGAGTTAAGGCTCCAGCGACGAACGCATCACCTGCGCCTGTTGTGTCGACGGCGTCGACTTTGATACCGTCCACACGACCAAGAAACTCCTGTAACAGTAAGCGAACATGAAAACCAAGGAAAGACAAGGCTAAACAAAAGAAAAACTGGAACCTTTGTGTAATAGCGGCAGCCGCCTTCGCCTTCGGTCACTAGCAAGAGCTTCAAGTTTGGATGCATGAGAGCTTGAGCTGCTTCATCGCTGTAAGGGTCACCTCCTTCAGTTAGAAATGTGATCTCCTCCTCACTTATCTTCAAATTTTAAAGCCACCGAGCAAACTTAGAAACTTGGAAACTTCGACCTTTGAAAAATAAAAGAACTCATTCACACAAACCTTGATGATATCGGCTTCGTTCCAAATGCTTTTGATGCCTGTGCGAGCAGCCTCTGCCGAACTCCACAACGGAAGTCTTAAGTTGGGGTCATACGAGAGGACCGCTCCAGCTTCTCTGGCGATTTTCATCGCGGCCAAGTGAGCGGATCTGCAAGGCTCCGCGATGAGACTGATAGAGCCGTAGTGAAAAATGGACGCCTGGAAGTTATCAAGCCAAGTAAGAACGCAAGTGATGTGAAGTAATACTTTTGATACCTGCTTGATAAGGTCAGCGTCAAGCTCCTCAGGCTTAAGTAACATATCCGCGCTAGGATTGCGGTAAAACATAAACTCGCGCTCGCCATCCTTGCGGAGAGTCACAAACGCGAGAGCCGTGCGAGCACCGGGATCAAAACGCATGCCTTTGCTTTCCACCTTGTTCTCTTTGAGAATGTCCACGAGCATGAAACCAAATTCATCCTCTCCAACCTGGTAAAAGCAAAGTGGTGGAGAACCAAAAAACTTAGAAAATTTTGTTTGAAAGCTGGAAAAGGTGATCATAGATTAGATTGTCACCTTACCGATGAAAGCAGAGTTTCCATCCAGCCGAGAGATACCAACAGCAACATTGGCTGGAGCTCCTCCAGGAGCTTTCTTAAACGCTGGAGCATCAGCCAAAGAAACTTCCCCTACTGTTGGAACGAAGTCTATAAGCATCTCTCCAAAACACACCACTAGATTGGAGCTGGGATCTCTCACGGAATCCACCGCTCTAGCAGATCCTACACAGTGAAGCGTCCATCAAGCCAGGAGAAGAAAAAGGTAGAACAGAGCTCCAGTACCTGATTTTGACGATGAGAGACAATTGGAGCTCGAGCTACTTCTCCTCAGATTCAAGCACTGCGGTCTATCCCCAAACAGGAAGCTCTGCCGCGGCAATCCCGTCGAAAGCTGCGAGATCTGAGAAGCAGGAGACGCGGCCATCTGTCGCGATCTAGGATCTACCTTTTAGATCAAGGCGATCGGCTGAGCGAGTAAAATCGATGGAAATGCGGCGCTGCGCTCTACTTACCCTACTGCAGATCGATCGAGCGAAGAGAGTGGGGCACCGCGACACTACTCTTTAGAAACCCTGGCCAACGAACCAAAAGCGCGACACCTGGCACGAATGAGACGCCGACGAGGAAAATATGGCATATAAAGGTATCACGTTTATAACCAGGGTTTTGCGGGTTTAGGGTTCTAGGCATGGAGAAGAAGAGGAAGAAGGAGAAGGACGGCGCGACGACATCTCGACCGCCGCGCATTCCCGATTCCGCAGCGTACAAGGCGCTGGAGGATCTCGTCTCGCCTCACATCGATTCCTTCGACTACTTCGTGCAGCGGGGACTGGTGGAAGCAGTGAAGGGGATCGCGCCGGTGGAGATCGAGCAGGGTTCGACTGGGAATAAGCTGATTTATATCCTTTGGATGAGTATAGGCGCATTGCCTTGCACTGCTAGATGGATTTCATTCTGGAGATTTTGGATTTTCCCTTGACGTTGTTTTGGCACTGACGCTCGACAAGCCTGTTGTGCAACCGCCCGTGAAGGATCTCAAGGAGAAGGCAATGGAGCATCGTCTTCTTCCAAAGGAGGTGTGAGCAGTATTTTTTTCTTTGATTCTTCTTCCTTATAGTTTATTTTATCGTAGTGCCGGCAAGGGTTCTTGAGCTACACCGGCGCGCTCAATATCCAGCTTATCTTGGATTACGGTTCAATGACTAGATACCATCAACTTTCGCTTGGAAAGCTGCCTATAATGTTGAAGGTATTTGGTTTCTGCTCTCATTTTCTTCCTTAAATTTGAGTAAATTCCTGTAGTCGAGCCTTTGCCATTTGAGAGGCTTGTCGCCACAAAAGCTTATTTCTTTGAAAGAGGAGGGCACGGAGATGGGAGGGTATGGTCTCTACCTTCAACCTTTCCTGATAGTAACTCAGCTACTTGTATGTAGGTACTTCATTGTGAAAGGAATTGAAAGAATCATACGAAAGCTCATTGTACCGAAACGAAATCATGTATGGTCGCATAGAAAATATCATGGCGCTTGAACTTTGGGATGTGTTTGAACAGATAATTGCTATAAGGAGAAATGCGTTTCAAAACAGAGGAGCAGGATTCTCTGACATCGGGTTGATGATGAGGTATACATAGGCGGTTTTATGGGCCCTTTTGTTACTGTGTTTGTTCAGATGTGTGAGACCAGACCAAACAGGGTCAACTATCAAACTTTACTACCTGCATCATGGCACGGCTAGGCTTGGTTTTGTGTAAGTCACAACATTGTTATTGCTTGTTACGACAGCAAATGTTTTCAGGATTCGGAGGCAGGAGTTTGTGATTCCGGTCGGAATAATTTTGAAGGTGCTGCTACGTTACCTGCATCTTTTGTTTACTGACTGTCCTTGCAGGCGTTCATGGACACAAGTGACCGAGAAATTTTCGAGCAGCTGAGTGGCATCCACGTCCAAGGGCAAGAGCAGTCCAAAGGTGCAGTTGGAAGCCAGCTTATAAGTCAAAGAGCAAGAATCATTATTGAAGAGACGCAACGTCAACCTTGCCTTACACGTTTGGATTGCCTTCGCTATATTGGTAAGCCTGATGGAAATACTTTTTTTTTTGTTTTGTTTTTATCTTTTATATGCGAACTGTAAACCAGGCGAAACATTTCGGACTCCTTTGGAGGCGCTGTCTAGTATGTCCAACGCCGAGGTAAGACTAGCGTTATTTCATAAGTGTTTGACTCGTCTTCGCATCCTCAGGTCGGAGAGGATGTTCTGAGGAGATTTGTCTTTGTACATTTGGACAATTTCCGTGATAAGTTTAACTTGCTCATGTAAGTTGATTGGTGTGTTTTCTTGGTCTAATTGTGTTTTTTAGCTCAGTCATATGCTGCACAAGCTTTTTGCGGTTGTGGATGGGTCGGCCTCGATTGATAGTTCCGATACTTTACAACATCAGGAGCTCTTACTACCCGGACATCTGATGAATATCTATTTGAAGGTAAACATTACAAATAATGTTCTGCTTTGGTTACAAATATGTATTTCAGGATAGACTAGAAGACTGGCTTTACAGGTGCAAGAGGTTGTTGCAAAGGGAAATGCAACTCAAGGAAGAGTTCGACTTAAGCGACCGTATGATTTGCGTTTTCATTTTCTGATGGCGGCCAAACTTCTCTTTTCAGATGCAAAGGTTTTAAAAATTGTGGAGAAAAATAATGCTGTGGATATAGGCAAACGGATTGAATATTTATTAAGCACTGGAAATATTCAATCCCAGTCGCATATGGACCTTCAGCAGGTTGAGTACAACGTGTTTCTTTGTGGTGCTCATTTTCTCATCTTTAGGCAAATGGTTTTAGCGTGGTAGCCGAAAAGCTGAATTTTTTCAGATTCATATCTCATTTTCGTTCCGTCCATAGGGGAGCTTTTTTTGCAAGACAGAGAACTACATCCGTGCGCAAGCTACTACCAGAGTAAGGACACTGATTCTACTCCAGTCCCTTTAACTTTATGGATGTGTAGATCGTGGGGATTTCTTTGCCCCGTTCACACTCCCGATGGTGAACCTTGTGGGTTGCTCACTCATTTAAGCTCATTGTGCAGTAAGCTTTTTATTTTGCTCAATGTCACGGGAACTAACTCGGTTTTCTGTTGTTCAGAAATTTCCACTGACCTCGATCAAAATAATCATCCCAAGGACCCCAAGGTTATTCATCGAACTATTGCTACGGTGTTAGCTCAACTCGGCATGGTTTCGATTTCACCTTTATTGGCGTTGTCAGGCCCTC